ACTTGATCTGCAAGGTAATCAGAAACTGTGCTTTCATGCAGTTCATGAATGGACCTCACCTCTGTACTGAGCAACAACAACAACAAAAAAAAATGTTGTTACATAACATCTGTATCACACTCAAAGTTTCTCATTAAAATTATCTTGATCCATGTACTTTAAAACACCCGCCCTGCCTTCAGAAAATTAGGTAAAAGTTCAGTTATATATAAATAAAAGTGACTGCACTTATCCTGGACTTTTTTCTCTATACTTTTATTTCACTGCAATCACTAGAGGTCATGTGATTAATTCTTTTGCCCGGTGTCCTGATGATAATTGATGAATAAACCACTGAAGACTCTTCTTCCACCTGCAGTAAAAAGCAATACATTTCATTACCCAGACAAAGCAACATGCACACACTTCATTTCTGCATGAGGGTTTTAGGTTACACCTCGATGTCAGCACAGACACTTACCCTGCTTTTCAAGCCACAGCAACAAATTTGAACAGGAAATGCTTTGGTGAGACAGAAGCATATTCAGAATCAGAGGGGAAAATTTTTCAAGCAAACCATAAGAAAAAAGCAAAACAATAAAATACAAAGGAAGTGGAAGTGAGGCGCAGCTGCATAGCCTACCTGAATGTAATCTTGATTTCAAGCAGAAAATTAAAAGTGCCATTAAAATGACACATGATACTGATATACCACAAATAAGTGGGATCCAGTCTTCAGGCTCTTTTTGAAAACCTGTTAAACCAAAAGTTAAATATTAATATTTCTTTGATTCGGGTGAAAAAGGTTCACAAACAGCATATGGCTGAACACCCACCTGTTGTTGTGCTAAATGCGTTTGTGCTAAATGTGGGACTCTTAGTAACTGTAGTGTATCCATCAAACACTGAATCTATATTGCACTTTAGGGACCCGTGTGGATGTACAGGCACAGATGTGGTTGAAGTTCTGTTTGGATTATTTGATTTCATGCTGCACGTCACAGCGCAAGATGCAGATGAATCCTTACTGTCATATACTGTAAGTAAAGATCAAAAGGTTACATCAGGTTATCTTCTACTATGAAACAATGATGTTTGTGTGTTTCTCACCTGTAACTACACACAAATTGATAGTGACTCGCTTAATACTGTGTCCGACACAGCTACTCATCCAGCAGGTATATTTCCCAGCATCTTCTCTTCTGACATTTCCAATATATATAGACTTGTTGAAAGTCAAATTGTCTGTTGTTGCTCTTACTTCTGATTTCCCAACAGCAGTCGTTGCTTCAAAAGTCCAAAAGTTTATTTTATCAAGTTCACTTGAACATGTGTGCTGAAAACTGCTGCCAGCAACAAAGTAAACTGTCTCATTGACGTCTTTCCACGTCTCTGAAAAAAGAGAGGTAAAGGATTGTGATAATTATCTTTGGCAAATTTAAAAACCATAAGCACAGGTAGATTCTGACTTAACGGAGAAAAATATGACAGCAGGACAAACCTTTCTTCACTATGATGTCAGTGGACTTTTGGCATGTTTCTTGGCAAGTTTCACACCAGTACACACCTTCATCCTCCTCGGTAAAAGAGCTGATGAGCAAGGAATGATTGGATCCAATTCTCAATTTGGGATTGGACATTTGATGATATAGGATTCCCCTCTTATTTCGGAAGAATAACTGAACCTGCTTACTGCTATGGTCCTTCATGTAAAACCATTTGAAAGAGTCTGATCGATGGATGTAATGCTGACACGGTATCACAGCTCGACATCCCAGCGAAAAATTAAGTTGTGTTGCGACTCGCAAAATATCACGTTGCTCATTTAAATTAACAGTCACTTGAAAAATATATGAAATATTCAAAAGTCAGTTCATCAATTGTATTTTAAATACATTGTATTTAATTAAGCAATTTGAATAATGAATTTAGTTAAGTAATGATTTGATCAGATACTCACTGTTTCCTGAGAAAGTAGAGAAGTTCCAAACAAGTAAAAAGATGAAAATGAAGCCTTTCTGTTTCATATGGGAGA